ACACCAAGCTGTGGATTTGGTCTTCCTGATGTCGTCAACTAGTAAAGAACAGTTGGCCAGAAATAAAAAGTTCCAATCTTAAGCTCTGGGGACATTGTGTGGGGTTTTGCTTGGCATGCAGTGCTGTGCTTGCGAAGGAACCCTGTTCACACACTGGTTGCACAACAAGGCATTGCAGACTGGCCAGGTCCCAAAGAGTTTTTAGGTGTGTCCAACCAAATTTTTTTACTCTGAGCAGAGGGCGCTGAAAGCAGAAACTGCTTTTTCTAACTCATTAATTTCACAAGAGATGAATAGTGTGGCAGCTTGGAGGATGGGTTCTTATTTGAGAAACACATGCTCAAAGCACCTCTGGGCATTTAGAACTAGTTGCATTGCTGTTTGGATCTGGGCCATAAAGTGTAATTTATTGCATATGTTAATGCTACCACATCTTAAGGAAACTTTTTAAAAAATTAATTAGTTGGATTTTCATACCTGGGATTTTTCATGACAGTTTATGTTGGATGGTAATTCTCTGTGATGCTTTCCAGAATATTGAGTGAGTAATTAAAGAAATGGATTGTGAGACATGCGTGTGGAACCTGGTGACTTTCCAGATCCAGGTGGCGACCATTTCAGGCGCATCCACTTAACACGCGATTGCTGACGCAGAGGAACTTTTGGCCCTGGAGGAAGGCGTAACAGGTTGTTCACACCACCAATGCTCATGTGGGCCAGGAAAGGAACCCCTGTGTGAAATGGTTGCCGCCTGTTCTGGTGTACTACAACTCATATTAACCCAGACCACTGACCATGCTGGCTGGAACTAATGGGAGCTGGGAGTCCCATCAAGAACTGGAGAGTCACAGGTTTCCGACACTTGCTGTCAGATCATGCCTTACATGGGGTGTTGGTGGTGGTATTTTGTGAAACCGTTTTTGTACCCAATGCACTGCGTCCTAAATTGTATTCCTGAGCTCCACTACTGTGTTCTGTCCCTGAGAATTTTCACTAGAAATATGCTAGCTTGCCTCCACAAATATCTCCGTATGTCATGAGGAACTTAAGTATTTTGCTGCGGTCTAAGATGGTAGGCTTGGGTAGATCTGCTCATGGTTCAGGTAGAAAGATGATTGCCCAGGAGGAGTCATTGAAGGATGCTTCAAGGCTTAAATTGTTCTTAGAAAGTCACTTCTGATCTGATGGTATTGTCTTAGAAACAGTTTTAGGAGGGGGAAGTGGTGAGGAAGCAGTTTTGGGACGAGGAAGTGGTGAAGTGGTGCAGATTCTGCCTTAGAATGCAGTCAATAGAAAGGAGTCAGTTTTTCAAAGTGAATTTTGTCAAAGTGAAAGCATCATCATCTAGTGTGAAGTGTCTGTTGTAATCAACTTTGGATGTTATTTAAAAACAATTTAGAACATCGATGTGTGTATCAAAGTTCAGTTTAAGTTCAGCTAATCTGCTTGGATCTTAAAACATCACATTAGCATGGGAGACTATTATGTAATAGGGTCATGTGATCAACCAGGCAGGGAAATGTTTTCTTGTAAAATAATTCTCCATTACTTAATCCTAAAACCCTTGCAGTCGGGTTTTGCGTATCAGAGCATTACAACTATGTTCAGACATGAGCTAAAGCATGTTTGGTCGAGATCATTGTGGTTAAAACTCATGACTTGCAGGCAACTTGCTAGTAAGTATTTAATGGCCTTAACTGAGGCTAGGCTTCTTGATCCAAGTATCTGATCAGTTTTATTCTATCCAGTTAGTAAAGTGATGCCTTTTTTAAGCTATTGAAATTTTGTTTGTTGTGGGTGTTGCATTTCCTAGAAAGCAGCACTGTCATTATTTATCAAATAATCATTGAAGAGGCTGATAATGTACTGGAAATGCCAATTAATTTATTTCCACGTCATCAAATATTCTATTTCAAGCAATCATGGTTTGCTGTGCTTTGACACCACATTTTCTCAGCCAAACTTACACCTGTAGTACTATTTCTAGGTAACATGTTTGGCCTCTTTCTGATACTTTTGAGGTATATTATATTCATAGGCCAATCCTGTGAGTGTTTGAGCTGAAGCATTTTTTTGGTAAATGTGCATATAATTGCAACATTATTTTCCCAGTCTGATTTCTAGTCATTTCAGTATCTTTTAAAATTATGGAAAATATTATAATTTAACTTTTAACAGTTGTGATGGTTTCACTGTTGTGGTGTGGGTGCCTGTGGGTGTGTAAGTGGGTAACTAATATAGATGATGACATTCTGTGTGTAACCCCCGATCCTATACAGATAATTTCCTAAAGTTCTTAGGAATATCTGACTGATCATTAGGAGATGGTCATTAGGGCAACCATTATTGGAAGCTCCCTCAGAATGATGCTGTGTCACGATATGGTGGCATTCCAAGGAGAAAAATGTGGCTGTTGAGATTGAGATGAGCGGCAGCCTTGCCAAAGTCAGTCATCCCCCCTTCAAAAAAACCTCACACGTTTGTCCCTCCTGTGTGGTTCTCCCCCCAATTCTGAGCCAACGTTTCCCTGAGCTTTGCATGGGGAGGCATTGCCATAGCACAGAGGACTGGCTGCCCTCATCATGTTCTGCCGCTCTAGTGCTCTCTCTTCCCACAGATGCCCTTGGCTTCCAACCTTGATGGTTTCAGTTTCCAGCATGAGCTCAACAGTTTCCGTGCTTTGGCTGAGACTTGGAAGGCTAGCAGCTTAAAGGAAGGCTAGGCGATTTAAAAATCTGAATGCTCCTTTAAGTAGTCCACAAGAATCAATAGCTGTCCATTGTTCAAAATACTTTTCTTCTCCAAAGTCGGCTTAGTATAGCATATAGCTGAAGAAGAACATGCAACTTTGTGGTGGTTGTTTTTGCAGTCAAGTGGTTTATAAATTATGCGACATAAATAAGAATGGTAGGTTTAAATCTGGATCAAGAGTACACATAAGTAATTTTGCCAAGCCTTTTGAGCACCTGGTGATGTGAGTTAATTATTTTTAATATTGTAAGAAGGAGTGAGATACTCTTTCCCTTTGAGATACTGAATTCATTTCCACTCATTTTTTATACAGCTTTGTTTTGTGAAACTGAGTCTAAATGTGCCACAGCTCCCTCATTTTTAAAAAGTAGTCTGGACTATTAAGGATGAAACACAATCCAGTTACGCTTCTCTACTGCTGTAGAGATAAATGCCAGGGCAATTGCTTTTGTGCTGAGTGCGGGAAGGCAAAGTCAATCTCTTTCATCAGATATGTTAAGGTACTGGCTGTTCTTCTAATCGTTGTATTGTAGGAGACTGGAGTGAGTCATCGCTAGCTTAATGTTGGTATTTTAGTATCTAGTTTATTTTTAAAAAGTCCTGTGTGAGTAGAGATTTTTCTGGTGTGGTCGTTGCTATGACTTCATAATATTTCCCCAAATATGCCTGTTCCTACTTTCTCACCATGTGGCATCAATGCTATGTACAAACCTTAAAATTAATATTAGCATAACTTGATGTATCATGAGAAAGTGCTTTATTCGAAAAATATTGTGACTTGTCTGATTGGAAAGAGTGTGTGTCTTCATTGCTATATTAACTACTCCCAGTTTCCCTTGGCATGTAAACATTACAAAGTCATAGGCTGAATTCTGAAAGGTAAATATTTCCATAAGGTTGGTCTCGGAAGCCAATTTATTAAAAACAAAAGGACATTACTGTATATAAGTTTGAAAAAGATCTTATAATTTGGAGGTTTGAATGACTTTCTTCATCACAAATGAAAATTTGGGACAGTAGAAATTTAAATAGAGCCAAGGCTGCGATGGGTAAGCTCTTTGCTGTCTGTCTCTCAGAGTTGCCCGGCTAAAAATTCAAAATGTTGGTGGTAGCAGTGTAATCCTTAGCTAGAACTCAGCATGGAGGTTTGGCTATGTTTTGGTCTGTATGAATAGCAGTTTTCATGACATTCACCTTGTTCTGTACTTGATATCTAGATGTATTTTGTAACTGACAACCATGAAAACACTTTTCTGTATGCATTGAACAAATCTTTTGGTTCAAGTCTCTTCTGTGTGAACTCAAATTTAAGGGCTTTTGCTAAGCATTTTGACATGCATTGATTATGATCCGGGTGATGGTGAGATGGTCGGCAAAGAAGGTTGAAGCTCGGCAACAAAAAATGATTTCTGTAAGTAGCTGGAATATAGTCCAAGTCGACCTGAGTACATGAGGAAAGGAGGGGACTAAAAATCCTTACTGATGCCATTTAAAATTAGAAAACAGCCTTGTCTGTTTTCTAGGGAGCCTGATTTAAGTGCTGTCATGTAACCTTGCTGGTACATTGGCCCTGGGTGTTTGTATTCTGACTGCAGAAGCTCCAAGACCTGCTTGATGCAAAACAGGTGACTTGGGCTTTGTTTACACATAACGCGAAACCAAACTGGCTTAATGTGAACATCCTTGCTTTCTGGGAGGAGATTGCAAACACTCTGCTTCCTTCTTGTCCTTTTTTGGTCAGTTCAGCATGGCACTAAACCCGGGTTTGGCTTATCATCCAACTCCGGGTTCATGGGTGAGCTGTCTGCTCCTTCATCACCATCTGTAGAGAAGGTTTGTTCCTGGGTACAGACTGTGGTTAAGGAGGAAAGAGCTTTACCAGCATTCTGGGTTCAGACAATATGCTAATCCAAACGCTGACTTGGCTGCAGAGGAGAAAAGTGGATGTGAGCTCCTTTCTTGGAGCCAGCATGTTTGTGCAGTCCTGGTAAAAGTCATAGTTTGGCTTACCGTGACATGTGAACCAAGCCATTAACTTAATATTTCTCTTGAGTATTTACCTCTTCTGACAGTTCAATCCTGCCAGATATGGCTCTGTATAATACAATACAATACAATACAATACAAAAAAACAGATATGGCTCTTCCCCCCACTTTCTCTCCACTGCAAACTTACTATCATTTTAATTCTTTAAAAATGTGCAAGTTCAATTCTTTGTTCCGCTGATCTTTGTATTTCCTCTCTACAGACTTTGAAGAACTGATATTTACAAGACTCCGGATTGCACCGGGTGTGTAGAGATGTCTGACTCGTATTATGATTCTGTTGGAGAAGAGGTTCCTAGTGACAGCTTCTGGGAGGTAATTAAGAAAAAAAAGGAAACAATATGTTTTTTAAAAGTACAGGTAGCTATGTTGCACCATAAGAAATCAAAAAAATTTGTATTGGAGCGACATTTTTATTACACCAAGCAAAATGCCATAAAAGAGTGTGCTGGCTTTTGGCTTCTCCAGAATTCGTCATCAGGCTGAATGGTAAATGTGTTATGTGCCCTGAGTGCTCGTGTTTGGGAGGTGGGGAAACAGCATTTTCTGGGTGGGGATGCACTCCCTTGAAAGGAGCAGCCCACAGGTTGGGCTGTGGTCCTGGATTCAGCATTCTCACTGGAGGTTCTGGTTGCCTCAGTGGCCACGAGTGTCCTTTTCCAGCTCCAGCTGGTTCACCAGCTATGGCCTCCTTTGGACAGAAGTGACTTGGCCTCTGTGCTTCATGCTCTGGTAACTTCCAGGTTGGATTATTGCAGTGCCCTCTATGTGGGGCTGTCACTGAACTCGGAAACTTCAATTGGTTCAAAATGCAACTGCTGATGTTCCATTTAGATTGCATATAAACCCTGTTTTAAAACAGCTGTATTGGTTATCTCTCTTTTATCAGGGTTTCAGTTAATCGTTTTAAGGAATTATTGGATTCAATACTATACAAAATGTGTAAATGGATTAAGTCATATACTAGACTTTTTTCTGCCTGTGTTTTCTCAGTTCAGTATTGACTTTAATTTTATACTTTACATTACAAATATTATTTATTGCTTATTATTATTGTCTGCCACCCTTCACTCTAAGGTCCCAGGATGGGTTACAACATTAAAACACAATATTAAAAACGCATGAGCCTACGATTTTTATCTGCCTTGGTAGATTTTTATCTGCCCCCCCCAAAAAAAAACCCCCACCCATGTTGCTGGCAAGCTGTGCTGCTCTCACAAGTTGTGTAAGCTTTGGCCTGTAGACTTTCAGTTTGTGTCTGGGAAATCTAAGGTCGGGTCTCTGTCCATTCGTAAAGCTTTCTTGGCAGCCTTGGCAAGCTACTATGTCCACTTAGCTTACCACATAAGGGTGTTGCACAGGTAAAATGGGAACTTCAGTGTAAGCCACCCTGACCTTCATAGAGGAGGAGCAGGCTAAAAATATGTAGCTTCATTAGATTTAAAATCTGTCTTCATTGGGGAAAGTAACCATTGATGGGAGTAACATTATTGAATTACAGACCTCTATTAAAGTGGTGTGCCTCTGAAAGTGTCTGGATAGATTGCATCTTTAAATTGCACTGTCATTGTCAGTCTTTCTACTGTGAAAAATATCACATTTTTGTGCTAACAGTAGATTTACCCTACCCCGTATGTTTCATTCTTGGCTATTTGCGGGGTGTTCAGGAGTGCCTCCCTTTTGGACCAGCTTGGTTACAGTCAAACCCAAATAGAGCTCTACCCTTAGGGTGGGGAGGTGAAGGAGATTTTGGAGAAGTTGTTGACTTCTTTGTCTTTACCGTGAAATATTTGGGAAAGATACCTGTTTCAGTTAAGCTGACTAGTGCTGTTCCACTTGTTCATTAATCATCAGAAGTTTGGGTTGAGCGGTAAAGTTGTCAAGTTTTCAGGTTATTCAGGATAATGAAATCTCTCTGAACTGGGGGGCTGACCAACAGAATGGCAATTTAGGTTTGATAAGTAACTGAAACTGATGAACATTGCAGGAGAAAGAGATCTTGGAGTCATTATAGATAGCACAGTGAGAACAGTAACTTGGTATGCAGCACCTGTGAAAGACTAATTCTGTGAGAGGGATAATTAGGAAAGAGAAAAAGGGAAATAAATTGCCGGTGTTGTAATGCTGTTACAGTGGTACCTCTGGTTAAGTACTTAATTCGTTCCGGAGGTCCGTACTTAGCCTGAAACTGTTCTTAACCTGAAGCACCACTTTAGCTAATGGAGCCTCCTGCTGCTGCTGCGCCGCCGGAGCACAATTTCTGTTCTCATCCTGAAGCAAAGTTCTTAACCTGAAGCACTATTTCTGGGTTAGCAGAGTCTGTAACCTGAAGTGTACGTAACCTGAAACGTATGTAACCCGAGGTACCACTGTACACACTTTAATTATATTACCACATTTGGAATACCACCTAGGGGTGAGGCAGGGATGAAGTATCCAAGGCATAGCCCGACGTGCTGTTCTCAGAAAGGCTATTGTGGAGCTAGATAACTTGCAAAAAAGGGCAACCATAAGTATCAAAACCAAAAGCCTCCAAAAGTTTCCAAACTGTCTTCAGAGGCAGCCCCACATATAACACATGACAGTAATCCAGCTAATGTTGGGGAAGGTAACAAGTAGGTAAGCTTGTGATGTTCTGCACTTGGTCACAATAGCCATTGGCTGGAAGTGAAAGAGTTCCACAGCTTATTCCACATACCAAATGAACTTCAGAATCTATCCTTGGGATTGCTTTTCAGACTGAGATTTTTAGAAATCATTTTGATATGACATAAATTGTCTGCTATTTTAAAGAGAGAGCCCACTGAATGTGTCTAAGCCCCTGGTCCATGTCAAAGTAGCTTTCTGCCTGCTGGTTATAACACAAGTAGAAACTGATACCAGATGTAGTCTACAAAATAACTAAACGGGGGAAGAAACGTACCTGGTGGAAAGCTGAATTTTCCTCTTTTCTCCACCAGCTGCATTTATAGATATGCTAGCAAAATCTCAAGATTCCGTTTGCCCCAAACAATATAAAAATACCGATGTTAAAAACTTAATCTCCAGCTTTCATGTTCTGCTACTAGGGATAAAAATGTGAAGGTTTTGAAGTATTGCTACATTTCATTTTCTGCTTAAGCGAACTATCGCAAGGAGGTCTTTGCCTTTGCGTATGCTAAGCACAGGAAACCAACTGGTAACATCTTTCCGCTTAGTAAAAACAAAGTATGGTTAGCTTTTTGGATCTTCTTTGTAAACAGTGCTTTGTTCAAATTTTGCTTGCCGGATTGCAAAGATCAAAAACTATAAAATGCTCTCAGAGGCTATTTTCCATCAGAAGCATTTGACTTGAAAACAAATGACACATTCTTTTATCTTTAGCAGCCAAGCAGAATAAATTTCCCAGTAGCTTTCCCGCACCCAGCCTCAGTTATATTTGCATAGTATCATCATGGCCCATTGTTTCTTTTTTTAAACTAGATTCCTGTTTTGCAGATAGAACCCAGGCTCTATTCAGTCGTCATGACAGACCGTGGTGCTGGCAAAACGGAATCAGAAAGTTCAAAACTATGGTGAATTACGGTTTGCAAACCATTTGTGGTTTGCTGTGATGTCCAAATTGGCAAACCATATTTACACCTGTTGTTCTACCTCCAGAAAATAATTTGCTATGACCCAAGTGCTGAGAGGATGGAATACAAAAGCAGATGAACTGGTCCGGACCATACATTGCCTTTTATTTGCATTGCAAGCTCATCCTACTGCTTTCTGGCTTGTCTGAATTGAGCCTCAGGTTCTGCTTGTGTGGGCACAACTATTCGCCTCTAGATAACTTTGCTATTGTAGGAATTATGCAGCCTTTAAATATCAGAGGGAAGTCTTTTTATTTATTTATTACATAAAAATTATACACTGCAGGATTGTAAAATACCTAAAGCCATTTACAGAAATATAATTTTTTTTTGAAAGTTACTGAAGTGTGCTCATGATTGCATTTTTATCTCTGACCTGCATTTACCATACTTTTCCGTGTATAAAATGAGGGTTTTTTACTCAAAATTAAAGTTAAACATGGGGGGGGTGGTCTTATACCTGGGTAGTGCAGAGGGGGGACAGGCGATTGGTTGCAGCCGTGAACAGGATCTTGCGATTGGGTGGGTGAATGGTGTCTGCTGCAAGGGCTGCTTTGTCTGTTGGGTGAGTTATTTGCAGTTATTTGCGGATGCGTAAATGGCTGCTTTGGATTGACTGCCGTCGCTTGCGATTGTTAGCGTTTCAGTTGGGTGAGAGATTTTTGGCAACTGGGCACTCCCCCCCCCAAAAAAAAACACAACCCAACAAGCTCAACAACTCAAAAACTCAACAATCTCCCCCCCAAAAGCTCGACAACTCTGTGCCATCTCCCCCCACCCATTTTCTTTAAATCAGGGACTGTGATCTACTCACAGAATGAAAAACTGGCAGTGATCTACCCCTCTTGAAATCGTGCGCAGATAAAGGAAAGAGGGAGGGGGCGGAGCCGAATGCTCCTTTTGCACCCGCGGACAAAAATGAGCCCACGACTGACTTCTAACAACCGCGGGTCGACCTGTCGGACACCCCTGCTTTAAATTTAGTCCCCCAAAATAGGGGGCGTCTTATATACGGGGGCGTGTTACACACGGAAAAGTACAGTAGTTTGGCTACAGTATTTAATTACCGTATTATTCGCCCCATAGGGTGCACCTAGGGTTTTTTTTTGGGGGGGGAATAAAGGAAAAAAATTATTTCCCCCCCTGGGGCGGGGGAAGCCCCGACCCCAGCCCCCAGAACAGGCTGCTATCCGCAAGCCTAGGGAGCCCGGCGGGAAGTCGTGCCGGTCTCCCCAGGCTTGTGGATATCTGCCCGTGCTGAGCGCGCCCCAAGCTTCGGGATGCAGGCAGCTCTCCGCAAGCCGTGGGAATGCTGCGTGGCTTCGCGCCGGGCTCCCACGGCTTGCGGAGAGCTTCCTGAAGCCTGGAGAGCGAGAGGGGTCAGTGCGTACCGACCCCTCTTGCTCTCCAGGCTTCAGCGAAAGCCTGCGTTCACCCCATAGGACACACACACATTTCCCCTTCATTTTGGGAGGGGGAAAAGTTGGCGCTGCAGGTAAAAGCCTCAGCGCCTAGGACTTGCCGATCGAAAGGTCGGTGGTTCGAATCCCCGCGGTGGGGTGCGCTCCCGCTGCTCAGTCCCAGCGCCTGCCAACCTAGCAGTTTGAAAGCACCCCCGGGTGCAAGTAGATAAATAGGGACCGCTTACTAGCGGGAAGGTAAACGGCGTTCCGTGTGCTGCGCTGGCTCGCCAGATGCAGCTTGTCACGCTGGCCATGTGACCCGGAAGTGTCTGCGGACAGCGCTGGCCCCCGGCCTATAGAGTGAGATGAGCGCACAACCCTAGAGTCTGTCAAGACTGGCCCGTATGGGCAGGGGTACCTTTACCTTTACCTTATAGGGCGAAAAATACGGTACCTTCTGCCTCCCCTCCCACACACTCTCCAAGGCCATACAAGTTAATTTCCTGTGAAGTTCCCATGAAACCTGCCTGCAGTTTGTGGAAGTTCAATCCAGGAACCACCTTCACGGTTTATAGGCAGCTCCCATTGCACTTTGAACTTAAGTGTGGCTTACATAAAGACGCCACAGATCACCAGTGAATCTTAGCAATACAATATAAGATTTAGTAGATTTAGTAGATACAGAGTAAATAGCGTTAGGGATTTGACTGTTGTGTGCAGGAGGATAGTGCTAAAAGCAGATTGTTTACAATGGACCAAAAGGTCTAAAGGGTTTCCCCTTCTGAAAGCATCAGGTGATACTGTTCTGTATAAGCTGTGCCAGTTGCAAACGTCACTTATGATGTACTCCGTATTAAGTGGAAATACTTGCAAGTGTATTGCCAGAAGGGAATGCACAACAAGGACATGGTGTCCGTCTTGAGTTTGGCAAGACAACAGCTTCATTTGTAAGTGAGAATATTTGGCAGATGTATTTGTACGCTAAGAGGACTTCAGATTTCACTCCTGTAGGGAGTCTCCTGTGAGTCGTGGCTGCTTTTCTCCTATTCTAAGTGGCATTGCCAATGCAGAAACTACAAGGGCTCAGAATACCTTTTAGTAGCAGTGAGAGTCTAAGCTTCGCTTTCCTGCCCCTTTGAGGGTTGCCAACTGAAAAACATTTGTATGAATTTCTTTGCCAGGAACACTATGTCAAACCATGTCTTAGTGCAAACTAGCAAATGTGCAGGCTCCTGAGCAGGAGATTGTATGGCAGCTTTGCTCCTACAGCCATTTTGCTGTTGTGCTATGTTAAGCCACAAGCCCGGGTTTGGACGACACACTAAGCCGAACCATAGCAAGCGTGCCTAAGGCCATGCTGCCTGAGGGCAGTTCCTACCCTTTTCTGTGGCTTCAGCGGCAGGTCTGCATGGCGGGTGGGTGGGGAAGGAACTGGATGGGGTGAGAGACCCTAAGGGGGTTGTTGCCGTGACTTTCAAATCTCGCAGAATGAAGCTGTGATCTCCCCAGAGTCTTGTCCTCTGCTAGCTGCAATGAACTGGTTGACTAGGTGGACTCTGGGGAAGTGGTGCAGCAGCCTGGAGGCTCTCAGGAAGCCGCAATAAGCCTCCCCAGAGTAGTCCTATTTGGCTCCTAGGTGACTGGCAGTTAGAAACAAGCAGTGCTTTCATTCCCAGATCATTCCTCACAATTCTGCTGCCCACCCCATACACCCTTGGAGCTGATGCCTGTGCTCTTGCATGAGGAAAGGACAGCGGACAAACCCTTATTCAGGACAGGGTAATAATAATAATAATAATAAATTATTATTTATACGCTGCCCATCTGGCTGGGTTTCCCCAGCCACTCTGGGCGGCTTCCAACAAAATATTAAAATACAGTAGTCCAAACATTAAAAGCTTCCCTAAACAGGGCTGTCTTCAAATGTATTCTAAAAGTCTGGTACTTATTGTTCTCTTTGACATCTGGTGGGGGGGGGGCGTTCTACAGGGCGGGTGCCACTACTGAGAAGGCCCTCTGCCTGGTTCCCTGTAACTTGGCTTCTCACAGGGAGGGAACCACCAGAAGGCTCTCGGAGCTGGACCTCAGTGTCAGGGTATATCCTTCAGGTATACTGGGCCTAGGCCGTTTAGGGCTTTAAAGGTCAGCACTAACACTTTGAATTGTGCTCGGAAATGTACTGGGACCCAGTGTAGGTCTTCAAGACCTGTGTTATGTGGTCTCGGCGGCCGTCACCAGTCTAGCTGCCGCATTCTGGATTAGTTTTTGTTTCTGGGTCACCTTCAAAGGTAGCTCCACTTAGAGCACATTGCAGTAGTCCAAGCGAGAGATAACCAGAGCATGCACCACTCTGGCAAGACAGTCTGCGGGCAGGTAGGGTCTCAGCCTGCATACCCGGTGGAGCTGGTAAATAAGCAGCTATCTTATCTTTAAAAGACATCTGAAAGCAGCCCTGTTTAGGGAAGTTTTTAATAGTTAATGCTGTATTGTTTTTAACACTTGATTGGGAGCTGCCCAGAGTGTCTGGGAAAACTCAGCCAGATGGGCAGGGTATAAATAATAAATTATTATTATTATTATTATTATTATTAAGGCAGTGTTGGCTCTATGGAACAGCCTTGATTTTTAAGATCTTTCTTACAGACTGTGCTCTAGGCTTTGTCTTATATGAAAAATATGCTGCTGGTTACAAATAAGGCCAACAGCACTTCAACATTCCTAGCTAGCTCAGTTGTTCATCTGAATGTAACTGTTAGATGATGATGATGATGATGATGATGATGATTATTTTACAAAATAACAGAACTCTGGTAAGTATGATGAGTTCTAGGTGTGTAAGGGAATTGGATTTGGTCCTCAATAGAAAACACAAATAAAATAGTATTAGGAAAGGTGATTATGGTACTTTAAGTTGGATTTCTTAGATAAGAAAATGCCTACCTTTTTAACACATCAAGTGCAGCAAGATTGCTTATAGCTAAAAATTGGAATTCTCTCAAATCTTGACTCCTTGGTACATACCGAATGTATTTAGGGAATATTTCACTGTATTCAGAATCATGGTCATTTAATAGTATTTGATTACTTGTGATTGGCATTACAAACTGATTTTCAGTACAAGTTTCATTTTTGTAATTAACCTAAGAATGGTTGTCACGTTTCTAGGAACAGAAAAACAATTGGCTTCCATTTTAAATGAGAGGTTGGATTTGTTGCCCTAGAAGTGTTTATATAAATGTTTCTGTCTCTCTTTTTAGGTTGGAAACTATAAGCGGACAGTGAAACGCATTGATGATGGTCATAGACTTTGCAGTGACCTGATGAACTGCATTCATGAGCGTGCAAGGATAGAAAAGGGCTATGCACAGCAGCTCACTGAATGGGCAAAAAGGTGGAGACAACTTGTAGAAAAGGGTAAAGGGAACTTTTGTCTATTTTGCATGTTTATGTTTTCTGTATCGATGGCATTGTTAATTACTTAGGAGGTCTTAGCGGGTTAGTAGGAAGCACTGAAAAAAGTGCAGTAAGCCTGGATGCCATCCTTTTCCCAAAATGTCAGTGAGTAGCTGTTTGTCCAGATTTCAAAATCTACCCATCTTTTTTTTAACACAAGTGATTTGGTAATTTACAGTGGTGCCCCGCAAGACGAATGCATCGCAAGACGGAAAACCCACTAGACGAAAGGGTTTTCCGTTTTGGAGGTGCTTCGCAAAACGAATTTCCTATGGGCTTGCTTCTCAAGATGAAAATTGCGAGTTCCTGCAGGGTTTTTTCCCCTTTCCCCCCCTTTTTCCAAAGCCGCTAAGCCGCTTAACAGCTGATCCGCTAAGCCGCTTAACAGCTGATCCGCTAAGCCGCTTAACAGCTGATCGCTAAGCTGCTTATCAGCTGATTCGCTAAGCCGCTTAACAGCTGATCCGCTAAGCCGCGTATCAGCTGATTCGCTAAACCCGCTAAGCCGCTAATAGCGCTAATCCGCTAATGGGCTTGCTTCGCAAGACGAAAAAACCGCAAGACGAAGAGACTCGCGGAACGGATTCTTTTCGTCTTGTGAGGCACCACTGTACTTGAGTCTAGCGATCCTTAATTAAATTAGCCCTTTATTTTAAAAAGGTGAAATAATAGAACCCAACAAGCTATGAAAAACACAAATATAGGTCCTGGAGTTGATTTCTAAGAAGGTTTAAGAGAAAAAAACAGAGTGAATGCAGGTTCAGTCATAATGGGTACCTAAAAATATATACCTGTTATATCCTTGGACCAAAGGGTTTCCTGATTCAGGGATCGATAATTAAAGAGTATTTAAGTTTATCTGACCAGTCTTAGGGTGTTGCTGCTTAATGCCAGGTTGGTGTTATAGGATTTGTCATATAGGGTTTGATCCTGATTGAAAGAACTGACCTAGCCTGCGTTACTGAAATCTTGGTGGGTGATCTAGAAGGCATTGACCATCCTCCTGCCTTTCAGCCTCTTTGCATGGTCTCAGATGGTGTGTTAAGGACCCCCTGGCTTATTCTGGGGAACCACAACAGACACACTAGGTGTTGTCAGGCCTCTGTATGTTCACAGTAAACCATTAACTGCTTTATTGTGAAGTGAATGTAGTCACTATAGTCCAGGCTTCCTCAGCCTCGGCCCTCCAGATGTTTTTGGCCTACAACTCCCATGATCCCTAGCTAGCAGGACCAGTGTTCATGGATGGTGGGAATTGTAGTCTCAGAGCATCTGGAGGGCCGAGGTTGAGGAAGCCTGCTATAGTAAAGGTAAAGGTACCCCTGCCCGTACGGGCCATCTTAACAGACTCTGGGGTTGTGCGCCCATCTCACTCAAGAGGCTGGGGGCCAGCGCTGTCTGGAGACACTTCCGGGTCACGTGGCCAGTGTGACAAAGCTGCATCTGGCGAGCCAGCGCAGCACACGGAAACGCTGTTTACCTTCCCGCCAGTAAGCGGTCCTTATTTATCTACTTGCACCCGGGGGTGCTTTCGAACTGCTAGGTTGGCAGGCGCTGGGACCGTGCAGCGGGAGCGCACCCCGCCGCGGGGATTCGAACCGCCGACCTTTCGATCGGCAAGCCCTAGGCGCTGAGGCTTTTACCCACAGCGCCACCCGCGTGCTATAGTCCTCTCTTAAAAACTCAGGATAGTGTGAGAAAAATGACTTCATTTGCTGCTTTCCCCCATCTTTGTGATCAGGGCCCCAGTATGGTACCGTTGAAAAGGCTTGGCATGCATTTATGTCTGAGGCCGAAAAGGTGAGCGAACTACACATAGAAGTAAAAAGTGCCCTGATGAATGAAGACTTTGAAAAGATAAAGAACTGGCAGAAGGAGGCATTTCACAAGCAAATAATGGGTGGATTTAAGGAAACCAAAGAAGCTGAAGATGGATTTAGGAAAGCTCAGAAACCATGGGCCAAAAAGCTGAAAGAGGTAAGTGATTGTTATGTACTGGGTGTTCCTTGCAACTTTGTCCACTGTTACACCTCTCCGTGCTCTTGTATCCATGCTGCATTGGGTGCTTTCACATAGAATCATAGAATTAAAGTGTTGGAAGGGACCCTAAGGGTCATCTAGTCCAACCCCCTGCAATGCAGGAATCTCAGCTAAAGCATCCAGGACAGATGACCATTCAACCTGTGCTTTAAAACCTCCAGTGACGGAGTCTGCCACCTTCTGAGAGAGCCCACTCCACTGTTGATCATGTCCCCTCCTTGCTTTCTGGTCTTTGAAGCAGAGAGACACAGGAGGCTGGACTGTTGATCTCTTTCTAGGAAGAACTGAATGTTGCAGAAGGACATCCTTGCATCCAGTTCTCCCTCTTCTTTCCTCTTTTCCCCTACCCATAGTGTGCTGTTTCTTGATTGGAGGATGCAGCAGGGCCCTGTGCCTTCCTCAAGAATCTCTTCTTTCCTCCTGGTGAGAGCGAAAGTCAGTAATGGAGTGATGTTGCAGCAGTTGGCTCCACTGCTATTTTTCTCACTCTCTAGCGAAATTGTGGCCAATGCTCATTTCCCTCTGGTCTTAAAGCCACAGAGAGCTAAACATGTGCTTAAGTCCTTGACTACAAGTTTTTGTTGCATCTTTGGATTGGAAGTCTCATTTCCGTCTTGTATGAGCCAACAATTCTCCATTGTTTCTGTGCTGCGGGAATGCTTGGAGGGTAGCTGCTCACGCATGCTTTCCCCCTGCAAACATATATACTGCCTTTTGGGTATCCAGGGGCAGGGCCAGTGGCTACCTCATGATGGGGGCAGGACCAGCAACAGGGCTGTGTTAACTACACAAGGACCTCTTCACGTGTGAAAGGGTATTTATTGGTGCCTCACTTTGGCTCAATGTACACAAAAGTACGCAATCACTGTACTTTTCAGCAATATAATGATCAGGTTATCTAAAGATATTTTGATACCTCCTTGAGTCCTACAACAATATTTCCCCTCCCTCAAACTTTCTAATCTATGGTGGGTGCTTATAGTGATGCTGTACAAAGATGAAATTATTGTTAAAATATGTCACATAGGTCGAAGCTGCTAAGAAAGCATACCATGTAGCCTGCAAAGAAGAAAAGCTGGCCGTATCCAGAGAGACTAATAGCAAAGCTGACCCAGCCCTGAATCCAGAACAACTGAAGAAACTGCAGGACAAAGTTGATAAGAGTAAACAGGATGTGCTTAAGGTAAACTGTGTGTTACTCTGAACACGGAACTTTACAAGCATTTCTTCCAGGTGGAAAAATAGATTAGTAAATATAAGTGATCCCAGCACAAGGGTAAAAAATTGTCACCTTCTGTCTCATATTATTAGTATCCTTATTCTATTCAAATTAGGGTATTTGGAGCATACAGGTGCACACTTTCACTCTTACTTTGCTGTTCAATTGTATGAAGTGTTCTTCTCTTCCTGTTGCATTCTAGATATGCCAGTGGCATTTTGTGTGTGTGAATGAACTACGTATTGCACCTCTGAGAGTGCTCCAACAATTCTTTGGTGAGAGAGCCCCAGCAGAGATTTGAAAGCACAGAACATGCAGCAAAGGAAAGCATGGAAATAGATAGTCTGTTAGACCTTTCAAATTCCCCCTTCTAAGTTGCTTCCAAAGTTACCCACTTCCATTAGCATAGAAAAAGACCACATGTTAAACATGGCTTACTTAAACACTCTGCAAAGAAAAGAGCAGCAAGAAAAGACTTAGAAACACAAAGATAGTCGGTTCACATGGTGGAAAGAGAATGATGATACAGGATGAAGGGCTATAGATATTCAAATGTTTATTAATAATAGTACATGACGATAAACTATGCTTTATCACACAGCCAGAGACTGAAGTGAGGCAGTCAACACCCAATTAGAACTGTGCTAATGGGACACGGGTGGTGCTGTGGGTTAAACCACAGAGTCTAGGACTTGTTGATCAGAAGGTCGGTGGTTCGAATCCCCATGACGGGGTGAGCTCCCGTTGCTCGGTCCCTGCTCCTGCCAACCTAGCAGTTCGAAAGGACGTCAAAGTGCAAGTAGATAAATAGGTACTGCTTTGGCGGGAAGGTAAACGGTGTTTCAGTGTGCTGCTCTGGTTTGCCAGAAGCAGTTTAGTCATGCTGGCCACATGACCCGGAAGCTGTACACCGGCTCCCTCAGCCAATAAAGCGAGATGAATGGCACAATCCCAGAGTCGTTCGCGACTGGACCTAATGGTCAGGAGTCCCTTTACTAATGGGAGACAGGTTGCCAAACTTGAGCCTGGATATCTTAGTGGCATCCACCTGTAGACCTAACCTTAGCTTAGCTCTTCCGGGTCACCTGTGAGCAATCCAGTGCAGCAAGGTTAGTCTTGCCTGTGCCATAGCCAGCTTGGTCAGACCTAGTTCCTCAATTAGCTGATCTGATTTGGATTTGTTTGTTTGTTTTGTCTTTAAGACGAGAGAAAAGTATGAAAAGGCTCTGAAAGACCTGGACAATGCAACACCTCAATATATGGAAAATATGGAGCAGGTTTTTGAGCAGTGTCAGCAGTTTGAGGAAAGACGTATCCGTTTCTTCCGAGAAGTGTTGTTGGAAGTTCAGAAACATCTTGACTTGTCTACTGTTCCAGGGTAAATGTGTAAGATGAAAGCCATTGCATACCAAAGTTGTCTTCGTGTGAACCAGTATAACAGTAAATTATGCTAGCATAGCTCACTACTTAAAAGAATATAGAATTGGGGTGACATAACCTGTATTTAAACATTTTTCTGTTGAATTTACTGACTTCTGAAGAGGATTATAGGAAGACACTAACCTTGTTGTGATTTTCACAAGCTAGTGATTGTGACTAGCTTCATTTTAAAAGCTACCAGTAATTTTTCTCTTAGTGTTTTACTTAGAGAGATCTTAGTTGATTTGGTTAAATCTGCATAAATTTAAAGATTCAGTAAAAAAAAAAAAGTCTTCTTAGGAAGCATGCACCGTCATGGGTGTAACCCTCCTTTGTGAAAGAGAAGGGGCTTCCAAAAGGGGTCTCCCGTCCGCAGTTTTGTTAGCACTTTCTGAAAGAAAACATGATGTTGACAAGCTGGGAACAGAATGGTAAATATTAGTTAATGTGATTTATTTTAGTTTAGGGTGTTAACAATACTAACAGGCTTATTCAGGAATAAATAAATAATAAAACAGAAATAAATACAATAATGATAAATAGTATTAAATGCATATGCCTTATAACGTTATGATAATGGTCTACCCCAAATTTTATCCTCATAACATTCCCCAAAGGATTGTATGTTTGTTTATTTATTACCCCACCCTTCACCACAAGGTCCAAGAATGAGTTACAGTAGTTTATTTATAGAATATTAAGATCGGTTTTAAACAAATACAACCCAAAGGTGAATCCCCTGTGTGGGAGATATAGGTAGACAGAATATTTTATTAAAGTACCTTTAATAAAGTAATTAGGGACGCGGGTGGCGCTGTGGGTAAAAGCCTCAGCGCCTAGGGCTTGCCGATTGAAAGGTCGGCGGTTCGATTCCCCGCGGCGGGGTGCGCTCCCGTTGCTCGGTCCCAGCGCCTGCCAACCTAGCAGTTCAAAAGCACCCCCGGGTGCAAGTAGATAAATAGGGACCGCTTACTGGCGGGAAGGTAAACGGCGTTTCCGTGTGCTGCGTTGGCTTGCCAGATGCAGCTTTGTCACGCTGGCCACGTGACCTGGAAGTGTCTCCGGACAGCGCTGGCCCCTGGCCTCTTAAGTGAGATGGGCGCACAACCCTAGAGTCTGTCAAGACTGGCCCGTACGGGCAGGGGTACCTTTACCTTTACTGGCCGCAAAACAGAATAATTCCATATAGCTTCTAACACACTTAGGCACAGCACTAATTTTTCCAGGAAGGAAAAACCAATTGTATGATAGTGTTATATACAACCTACCTTATCTCCAAAGACAGGTAGTTAAAGAAATTAAACTCTTAAATACTTATAAATACAACTGGTCACTGAAAGATGCCCTTGCTCACACCCAGCTTCAAAGTGTTTTTTCCAAATATTATTCATCAGCTGCTTATACGTCTCTAGAAAATACATTTAACAGCTAAAACACATGACCAGATTTTTCTTTCTTTCTTATTATTACTTGATTAAACTATAAAGTAAACTTCCTATTTTTAGTTTTTTTCTCCCCCTCAGTTATCAGGCTAAAATGGATGCAGGTATGTTGCTAGTCTCAGTTTTATCACTGAAGTGTGCAGTGCAGTAGTGCAAGCACTGACCCAATCCCCTTGTTAGTAAAAAAAACAACCAACAGCTTCTGTGTTAAACATTTGTGAAATGTTTCTCTCTGCTAGTTCGTATTTAAGTAGTAATACCAAATAGTAAGTCTGTTGGTGCTACAGTGAAATGCCTAGTAGATGTGCAGATCTAATAACAGAATTCACCTTGCCCTTGGGAAATACTCTCACAATAAAGTTTGCACAAATTTTAAAGTTGATCTGGTTTGTGTTTTCCATCCAGATTGACTAATGTGGGTTGAAGCAGCAAAGCTCTCTCTCTTTTAGCTGATGATGAATATGTTTAACTGCACATAAAAGGTTAATATTTTTGTTAAAACAGTGGTATGAAAATATTCACCAGCTGTTTATAGATCTGATTAAAAGGATATTACTCCTTTTTCTATCTACTACATGTCTGTATTGTATCGAACCTCATGCAGACGTTATAGGATAATACCTAGGCAAAACATTGTATAGCTGAAACCTTTCTGATTTGCTCATTGCAACTTCTAAATCAGCGTGTATTACTTAACAGCTATAAAAATATCTATCGTGAATTGGAGCAGAACATCAAAGCAGCGGACACCGTTGAAGATCTGAGGTGGTTTAGAGCTAATCATGGTCCAGGCATGTCCATGAACTGGCCCCAGTTTGAGGTAAGGACTTGATCTTCTCTTGCAGCCTTTTCCGGGTTGGACCACAAAATGGTGCTGCCATGCCCCCCTCAATGGGGGAAAAGGCACCTCCATCTGCCACGGCTGCCACACTCTCACAGAGGGAAACTCTTGGTGACTCTCCTCTCTTTGGCATGGATGGGAGGAGGTTGGCTGCCATCCAGGGAAATGTGGGTATGTTGAAGGAGGCATGTTCAGTGGACGAGAGGCTATGCCAGTGCAAAGAGGAACTGAGTAAGAATAGTAATTTTGAAATAATAATTACTGGACATTTGCCAGGTCCCATAGGAGGGACTGGTGGGCAGAAGGCAACCGCCATTGTAACGTTTCTGTATTCAGAAATAACCAGCAGTTTTATGGTTCAGGTTGTGACTTAGCCAGTTGAGAGATTCTCCTTTGGAATCTTGATCATGTTTGGCTCATGTTCTTGTTTGGAAGAATACACTAGGAATGAAATAAGTGAACTATTATCCTCATGTTGCTGTTTTCTTTTAAAGAGGTGTGAAATCTACGTCCTTTTTAAATGGCTTCCAATACAAATGCATTACAACATTCAGTGTAAGCTAAGCCAGATCTTTTTACCAAAGACCCTATGTGAAAAAAGCATATAAGAAGCCAAAGTGCTGCCATGTGCTATCAGGATAATATTAGCAAATTATTGCTGCCTTGGTAATGTTTTTTTCATTGTGAGCTAGATAATATGCAAATGGCAATTTAACATTGCTTTATGCTAATTTTTTAAAAAGACTGTTGTAGGAAGGTTATGTAGTTGAGATGTTTACAGTTCTGGCAAGAGAACTATGGATTTATCTTGCCTGGACCCAACCACAATTGCATTTTAGAAATTGCATTTTGAAACTATTATAATTTATTACCCACCCTTGGCCCTAAGGCCCCAGGGCGGGTTACAACAGTAAACCAATGTTTAAAACATTATTTAAAATCAGCTGGATTGATAAAATACTCTTCAGTATTTCTAGTATTCTTCTGCCTGATGGAATAAAGCTGGAAAATGCATTTAAACTTAAGGCTTCAATCTTTTGCACACTTACCCAGAGTAAACTCCACTGAATACAATCAGGCCTACTTCTGAGTAAACACTCTGAGAACTGTGCTATATATTATACTAATATATATTCTGTATGTATTCTGTGTTGGGTATGCAATTGTGAAGCACTATCCAAAATGGAAATTACATGTTATAGATGTGATGTTATAGCTTGTTTTCCCATCTATTCTACTGTTTTAATTTGTTTGCATTTAATTTTTTTGCTTTAAACTCTAAGCTGGAAGCTTCTTCTTTTTTTAAATGAATGCCAGGCTTTAAAATGCTTAAAATAAAATACTGTCCTAACAAACATTGTTTGTTTATTTTTCATGCAACAAGGATGAAGTAAGTTTTTTTTTTCAGATTTACTTACAGCTAATTCTATAACTCAGACTGCCTAAATGGTCATGAAAACATGTCAAATGACACGAGCTAGTTGTATAATTTTCAGCTTTTTTGTGAATGGTTACTTCCTGTGTACGTAATTTTCCTTGCTACTTAGAAACCATTTTCAGTTAAGGAATTTTAATTGCGTCCAAGGATTTAAGAAATAATTTGAATTAAGGTAGTTTGGAGGGAGCAACAGCTGTGAGATCAAAGCTTTTCCAGAAGCTAGAGTTTTTGTTGAGAAAGTAAAACAGAAAGCTAGGTTAGCTCATATTTAATTATATACTGCCTTTCTGCCAAGGCACCCAGAAAAGGTGTCCCAGAGTGAGGAGGTGTGGAGAGGGATGAAGAATAAGGCAGCACTGATTCAGAGAAGGCTGCATAGTGGAGCTTTGGCATTTCGTGTGAGGAAAGAGGGACACGCAGCGGTAGAAGCTGGAAAGCTGCAAGCCCTTTTGAGCGGGGTTTACCATTGCAAAGTGCTGCACAGACACACTGATGATCAGAAAACAGTGGGTTAGATCTTCGCTTCCTTCTGCTCTATCTGAAACAGAGAATTGCTAGTGTCAGGATAGGATCCAAGAGGTTGAAAGGGAAGACTTTCCTTGACCACAGTGAGGCTTTACTATGTGGTGACAACTGAGTGTACGGATGCAGAAAATCCACCCAAAGCTGGAAGTCTAGTCAGACTATATTTATGCCAGCCAAACCCTCTGAAATTGCTTAAAATTCAGAGGTACAGTGGTGCCTCGCAAGACGAAATTAATTCGTTCCGCAAGTTTTTTCTTCTTGCGAGTTTTTCGTCTTGCGAAGCACGGTTTCCCATAGGAATGCATTGAAAATCAATCAATGCGTTCCTATGGAGACCGTCCGGGGACAGAGGGGAAGCGCCGCGCGCTTCCCCCTCTGTCCCCGGACCTGTTTTAAAGCAAGGGGCAGCGGGGAGAAGATTGCTTCTCCCCGTTGCCTGCCCCGCAATCTCCAGGGACAGAGGGGAAGGCGCGCACGCCTTCCCCTCTGTCCCCGGACCTGTTTTAAAGCAAGGGAAGGGGCAGCGGGGAGAATCGCTTCTCCCTGTTGCCGCCCCTTGGTTCAAAAGGGGTCCGGGGAGAGAGGGGAAGGCGCGCGCACCTTACTCTCTGTCCCCTCTTTTGAAGCAAGGGGCGGAGGGGAGAAGATCGCTTCTCCCCGTTGCCGCCCCTTGGTTCAAAAGGGGTCCGGGGACAAAGGGGAAGACACGCTGCGCTTCCCCGCTATCCCCAGAGCTTGCAGGGCAAGCTTCGTTTTGCGAAGCAAGCCCATAGGGAAATGCGTCTTGCGAAGCGGCTAAGAAAACGAAAAACTCCTTCGTCTAGCGAGTTTTTCGTCTTCCAATGCGTTCGTCTTGCGGGGTACCACTGTACAAAAATGGGCTGGAATTTGAAAAGCTGATTGAGCAGAATGCCTCCTCGCAAGGCAGCCCTGGATTCATCTGATTTCAGGCATTTAACATCAGTTATAGTTCTCCAAAGAGTGAAGTAGTCCTGAAATGACCATTTCCAGGTAAACCTTAACAGAAGGATTTCCTTAAGGTGGTTTATTATGCTACAGTGCTACTTATAAGGACTCTTAAACTTTACTCTCCATAGCCAATTGGGCAGCAATGCAGTGTTGCCTTGACTGAACTGGGAAAAGAAGGAAGATTAAGCTTTAGCAATTCCAGGGAATCCCAAGCCACAGTATAGAGTGGGACATTAAAAAGCCTGTGTCAGTGGGAACATGGGGCAAAGGCATTTTGTCCTTGTTTGCTAGATTTTGCCAGTTTATGTTCCCTGACAATGAATATCTCCCGGCTAAGGTTGACAGGGTTGTTTTTGTTGTTGTTCTTTTTATACCACCCTTCATCCAAAGCTCACAGGGTGGTTTACAATATAAAAACTCAAAAATACATACCATAATAACAAGCAAAAGCAATAACCCCCTCAGTTATTATTAGCTATGATACAGATATGAATGACTTAAGACTAGAATCAGGGTTAAGACACACAAAGGGCATTGCCCCTTTGACCCAAGAATGGGGGTTGGTCTCTGGAAATAAGCTGATGCAAAACGCCTTTTCTCACTTGCATTTTCTAGGACTGGTCAGCTGATCTGAATCGCACTCTTAGTAGAAGAGAGAAGAAGAAAGCTGCAGATGGGGTAACTCTGACGGGTATTAGCCAGACAGAACCAGTTCCACAGCACAACAAAAACAGCAGGTACATGATCATGAGCCCATTATCTTTTACCACTAATTGCTAAGTATCAAATGGTCCTATTTTGGATTATACTGGAAATACATCGTTTTGGAAAATTAGGCTCTATCCAGACCTATTTCCCCACAAGGAGTGATTGGGAGTGGGCTTGAGTTGACATGTTTATTCCTGGGCCCGTCTCCTGCTTCCTCGCTATGGGAAGAAGTGAATGACTGACTGAACTGGGAGATGTTGCAGTAGTTTGAATATGGGATTTTTCTTGACCCCGGAAGGTTGATATCTTGAAAATATCTCTAACTTCCCAGAGCCAGGAAGTCACCACATTCTGGAAAACCTGCTTTTTCTGGTTTGTTTGAAATGTGGGTAGGAGAGCCAGAACCCTACTCTCAGTCTCTTGCCAAAGTTAGGCTGGAAATAATGTCCCATCAGAACTGTAGAGAAGCAGGCATACATTCATTTTAAAATCTAAGTAAATAAATAAATAGGGCTTGTTTTGGCAGTCAGTTTGTCAACCAAACTAAACAGTGGAGTCTTAAAATTTTTGATTAGATTCCAGAATAAGGCAAATAAGTAGTAATCTGTGGAAAAGAACAGACTTGCAACAAATCGATTCAACATTTGGCCTTGTTGAAAACAGATGGAGGTAAGTTTTATCTTAGAGCAGTAGCTAGCAAGAAGTTGTATTCCCTGACAAAATACATTCCCACGCTCAAAAACTGGGTCCTCCTCCTATGCTTCCTAACTACAGGTCTGTTTAATTGGAGATCCTAGTATCTTAATGCATATAGTTTACAAAGCTGTAATCCAGGGATAGAGAACCTCAGGCCTGGGGCCCCTCTGGCCCTCAGGCTGCTCCCCTGGCCACATCCCTTACTAGCTGTGCTTTGTGCCCAACGTGGATGTTCTGGCCTGCCTGGCATGTGCCATTGAAGGCCATTAATGCCTCTTGCTTGCCTTGGATGGACAAGGTGAATGTGGAAACCTTTACTCTGGTATGGCTGGAATGTAACCTACTGTACAAAGGTAAGCGTTACATGCATTGCCTGTGGGTCCTGGAAGGTAGTCCATGGAGAAACTGAACACTGGTGTTGAAACAAGCTCCCCACCCCTTCTATAGTCTCCCTAGTGCCTATACAGAAGACTTGCTATGAGAAATTTGGCGTTGGTCATTCACTGGTGAAATTGCTTAGAACTAGGTATAGCTGCGGAATAACACAAGCTTTAAAGAACTTTTAGTACAGCTTTGAAAAGTAGCATCTGTTTCTGGGATTTTTGCAGTTAAAGTTTGACCAGCTGAGGTAATAGATAAGGAGTAGTGAATCTTTTCCTTTTTTCCCTTTTTTTAGCTCAAGGGTTGTGTTTCTTCATAAGCAGTGTTCATGGGGTGGGGGTGGGCCTGTGGCACTCTAGGCTATGTTGCAGTTACACATCAGGTTTCTGCAGACACAGCTCTCCACCCAGAGGGTTTAGCACATTTCAAGGGCACATTCCGGCCAAGCAAAAGCTCTCAAGAAGGCTCAGAGCTGAGCTGGTGGTGAGGGATGTGAAATGGGGAAAGGGCAAGGTAAAAGGGCCCAGAGTGCCACCTCGGAGTTTTGCGTTCCAATGAGGTTTTATGTCTGCTCCACACCTCATACAATGATTTTCTAATAGTATGATTCAAAAACCCTCTGTGCATTCTGACCTTATCATACTACAGGTAGGCGTGCCACCCGAATGTTGTCAAATCCCTCCAAATCCAATATATCTGAATTATCTAAGGTTATCCATTCCCTTAACCAACAAAAACACACCGCCTCGTAGTAAATTTTTAGATCTGGCAGGGGAAAACCAACTCTTTCTTCTGCATCTGTCAATATTTTATACTTAATTCTTGGCTTTTTTCCCTGCCAGATAAATTTGGACAATCTTCTTTGCCATACATTAAATTGTTTTGTTCCACTGATAATCGGAATTGTCTGAAATAAAAACAACAGTCTCGGTAACACGTTCATTTTGATAGCTGAGATTCTACCCATCATTGATAATTTCATTCTAGTCTATATCTCTAGATCTCTCTTCACTTCATTCCACACCTTTTCATAGTTGTCTTTAAAGAGGTTTATGTTCTTAGATGTGAGCCAGACTCCTAGGTATTTTAACTTGTTTTCTATCAACATACCTTTCTTTTGTTGTAGTTCTCCTATTTCTTTACTGTTCAAATTTTTAGTTAATATTTTTGTCTTATTTTTGTTGAGCTTAAAGCTTGCTAATTGCCCATACTCTTCGTTCTTTTTCAAAGCTTCTATTGCACTGGACATAGGTTGTTCTAAAGTCAAAACAACATCATCAGCAAAGGCCTTATACTTAAATTATTTTGAGGCTACACCAATCCCCTTTATTTATTTTGTTGCTTCTATTTTCTTCAACAGGACCTCTAGTATTGTTATAAATAACAATGGCGATAGTGGGCACCCCTGTCTGGTTCCCTTTGTTTTCTCAATTTTGTCTGTGAGGTTATTATTAATTATCAATTTAGCATATTGTTCTGAATAAATAGGCTGAATACCATTTAAATTTTTTTCACTGATATCCATAAATTCTAAATTTCTTTTCATAAAATGCCAAGACACATCATCAAATGCTTTTTCAGCATCCAGAAATATTAGGGTTTCTTGTTTGTCTCTTCTGGAGTCCAGATATTCCATTATATCAATTATATTTCTAAAATTATCCTTCATCTGTCTACCAGATAGAAATCCAGTTTGGTTCTTTCCAATCTCCTCTCCCAATACATTTTTAAGTCTATTTGTCTCAATATACTGACGAATAATTTGTAATCATTATTTAGGAGTAAGATTGGTTTATAATTTTTCACCTGCCTTAAGTCTGTGTCTTGTTTGGGAATTAGCGTAATATGGGCTTCTTTCCAAGTCTCTGGAATTTTGTTCCCCATTAAAATGTTATTCATTACCTCCATTAACGGAACTGACAGTTGTTCCACGCATTTCTTAAAGTATTTGGCTGTCAAGCCTTCGGGTCCCAGTGCCTTTCCTATTATTGCTTGTTTTATTGCTACTTTTATTTCATCCACAGTAATAATGAAATTGAGTTGGTTCTTTTTGTCATTGGGAATTTTCTGCAACCTGTTCTTTTCCAGAAATTCTTCTATTTTTTCCTCATCTTTTTCTTTTTTATATAATTGTTTATAGAATCTTTGAAAATTCTTCCTTATTTCTCCTGGATTTTCTATTGTTTTCCCTTCCACTATTAGTTTTGTTATCGTATTCCGCTTTTGTCTCTTCTTTAGTTGCCAGGCTAACAATTTTCCTGGTTTATTTGCGAACTCAAAGCTTCTCTGGTTTAAAAATTTAACTTTCCATTCGATCTCTTGATTTATCAATATTGAGAATTGTGTCTGCAACATTTTTATGTTTTGTTTAGCTTGGCTATCTTTTGGATTAGTTGCTAATTTCTTTTCATTACATATTTGTTTTAACAACTCTTCTTTTTTCTTCTCTCTCATTCTCTTTTGAATTGTGTTCTGCTGTATCCAAAATCCTTTTATTACAGCCTTTGAGGCATCCCATACCACATTAATGTCCACTCCTTTATTTAAATTAAACTCAGAATAATCTTTCAGTGTCTTTTGTGCTTTTTCCAATATTATCTGGTTATCTAGCAACCCCTCGTTCAATCTCCACCTAAATGAAGTCTCCTCCTTAACTTTCAACTCCAGTGTTGTTTCATTGTGATCTGACATAGTTTTCGGAAGAATTTCAGATTTTATTATTCTCGTTGCCAAATCTCTGGAAGCCCATATATAATCAATCCAACCAGCACTTTAATTTGGTTCTGAGAAGTAACTAAATTGTTTCTCAAGTGGGTGTTTTAATCTCCATGTGTCTATTAAATCATTATTTTCCACCAAAGTGAAAAATGTTTTGGGCAGTTTCCCTTGATTCGTTACCTTTTTCCTTTCTGTTCTATCCATCTCTGGGGAAACTACCCTATTAAAGTCTCCCATTATTATTATTTTTGGTCCATAAAATCAAACAGCTTCTCCTCTAGTTCTTTGTAAAAGTTCACTTTTTTGTCATTCAGTGCATAAATTCCCACCATAATTAAATTTTCCCGTTGTGCTACCATTTCCACTGCTATTATCCTTCCGTTATCATCCTTAAAAATCTGACGAGATTCATATTTTTCCTTTATATATAAGGCCACCCCTCTTTTTTTTACTGTCATCTGCTGAAATATATTCCTTCCCTAGTCTTTTATTTTTAAGAATTATTTCATGTTTTTTTGCCACATGTGTTTCCTGTATACAAATTACCGTATTTTTCGCTCTATAAGACGCACCAGACCACAAGACGCACCTAGTTTTTGGAGGAGGAAAACAAGAAAAAAATATTCTGAATCTCAGAAGCCAGAACAACAAGAGGGATCACTGTTTTCTTCACCGTCTCCTCCAGGGCTTGGGTCTTTATCCTTACCTCTCCCAATTGGCCTTTTAATTCTGCCACTGATTTATCAATTTTTCCATCCATTTTATCAAATTTACTGTCCAAGATTTTTTCAGTATCTTTTATATCTTTCCGAATATCTGCCAGTATCTCTGTAATGTCTATTCTGGGGCTCTTCCTGTTTTGAATTCCTCCTATCTGTTCTCTTCAGCTGCCCATTCAGCCTAATCCAATTCTTAAAGTCACAACCACCAATAAAAAAATAGTCCTCAGGATCCAAAATTATTAAAGAACCCCCCTCTTCGGTCTCTTCAATGACCTAATCATCAGTAATGATATTGGAGTACACCAGCAGATCTCAGTTCCCTCAGATTTAAAGCCGCATCTCCCAGTGCGTCAGGATCAAGCAACAAATATTGCACGTCCAATTCTTCTGAGTGTCTTTATATAGCTATTTTCCCCCTTCCCCAAAGGGCTGACAGGGGTTAGCTATTATAGCCACTTGTCTCCGTTTGTAGCTAAAGCACTGATATACTTTCAATTTTGAGGTAGAAAACTTACTGCACCATTTTCTCGTCAGCAGTGAACGGATTCCCTGTTTGCGTCTCAAAGCTCTCCGAATTCCTTCTTTTGCCAAATAAGTCCAAATTTTCTCCACTTGCCTTTGGATTATCTTTTAATGTCGGGAAATCAGCTGCCTTTGCCATCGGAACTAGAGGCTTCACTCAGCAGAAGTAGCAAGTAGACCCCCTTGCACCCACGCCTCCATCCCCTCGGGTTTCCAAACATTTTTACCGGTCCGTCTGCCTTTGGGGAGATACGCCAGGGGTGCCGCTGGGTCCCCATCACCCAAAACTCCCTTTTGGGTTTTTTACCGGAGCTCACAGTGCCCTTGTGAAACTCCAATCTTCTGCTAGGCTCGGATTTCCCCCAAGAGGCTAAATCCACGTCCGAAATGGCCCCTGCAGCCGACAGGAAGTCAGGACATCCATAAGTTTTATTTTCCATTCTACTTCCTGATTCACCAACATAGAAAATTGTGTTTGTAACGTTTTGATAGTTTGTTTTACAGTGGTGCCTCGCAAGACGAAATTAATTCGTTCTGCGAGTTTTTTCGTCTTGCGAATTTTTTCGTCTTGCGAAGCACAGTTTTGGAAAAGTTTTGGAAAAGCTTCAAAAATCACCAAAGTCTTCAAAAACCTCAAAAAAGGCTACCACACCGCATGCTACGAGTTGCTCCTTGAAGTCAATTCGCAACTGTATTAACGGTTTTAAGAAAAAGGAAACAAACTTGCAAGACGTTTCCGTCTTGCGAAGCAAGCCCATAGGGAAATTCATCTTGCGAAGCAACTCAAAAAACCAAAAACCCTTTCGTCTTGTGAGGCATTCGTCTTGCGAGGTACCACTGTATTTGTTCATCTTTTGGTTTTAATGTTATTTTTTTCTCATTTTCCACAAGATGGGCTTGTCTGATTGGTAAGTGACTTCAGAATGTAAACATGCACTGTAACCTTTAAAATGGTATTAATTGCTGTACTTTTTAGAGTCCTTCCTATCAAGACTGATTTGGAGCGCACGACCGACTTTGTGCACTCCATACTTCCCTGGCTAGCGCTAACTACGATTTGATGTGAATCAGAATCAATGTATCCATTCTTATTGCTAAGCATTATATGCTCAGAAACCATCTTGAAACTGGGATCCTAGGCTGGCTTCTATAGTGGCAGGTCAGACATGTGTGACACTGAATCTGAAGTGTCTCTGTAGTGAAATAAGAAGGGGAGACGTGTTTCCGTTTTAAGTAAGTGTTGGGAAGGGAAGCCACCCAAAGAGAAGGATGTGGATGGCTCTGTTCTTAATTGCATGTATATTGACTCCGTGAAATGGCAGGGTCACCTTCATGATTTTTCTCTCCCAAATAGCAGTGTTAGTGTTCCGGGTGACACAGTGCAGTCAGTTCAGTCAAGTTACAATCCCTTTGAAGATGAAGAGGATACTGGAAGTACTGTCAGTGAAAAGGAGGACAATAAAATCAAAAAGTTGGTGAAAGACGGTTCTCAAACTGTTTTTTATACTTACACTTTTCCTATCCAGGGTTTCCAACTCCGGGTTTCTACAAAAGCCTTATGTTGCACAATGCATGAAGTCCTTGTTGAGCGGTTATTTTGTTGCAAACCCGACTAACCTCCCAATGCTCTGTCACTGTTTTGTTTTCTGGTTGGTTTTCCTTCACTGGTTCCACAAATATTAACTGTGGTCATGTGCTTTGAAACTACTGCTGGATCTTTGCTACTGGCTGTGCTCACTAGGTGTCCCCCCCTCCCCTTTCTCACCGTTTCACGTTTCCCCCTCAAATGAACATGTTGGCCTTGATGTTTCTCTTGGTGGTCCATAACCTCTATGTTCACTCTTATTGTCTCTAAGGGCACTGCGATGTGAAAAGGGGCAAAGCACAGCATTGCTAAGCAGGTGCCCAGAAGTAGCTTGGCAGGGGGTGGGATATCTAGAATTGATACCCCACCTCCTGCCAAGCTACTTGTATCAGGGAAGCTAACAGAATATTTCCGTGTGTTTAGTGTTAGCAGCTCGGAGAAAAACCAAAGTTACTCTGCGGACTGGTCCGACGAGGAGACCAACAATCCTTTTTCATCTAATGATGCTCCTGCAGAAACAAATCCATTTGATGAGGATACATCCCCTACGATGGAAGTTAGAGTACGGGCATTGTATGACTATGAAGGTCAAGAGCTCGATGAACTCAGTTTCAAGACTGGTAAATACCCTTTACTCTTTTTTCTGCCCTAAAAAAGATGCAAGGCAGGATTGGCTCAAAACATTTTGCTGCCTGAAACAGAAGAGCAAATGGCAAAGGTCAATGCCAGCCACAAGCATCTCTAAGACCATAAGAGCCTGGCTGCAGGATCAGACAAAGGACCCATCCAGTCCAGCATTCTGTTCTCACATTGGCCAACCTAAGGAAAGCCTGCAAGCAGGACTGGAATGTAGCCTCCCTCACCACTTGGGATATTGCCTCTGACAGGGAAGGTCCAGCGTTAGCCTTGGTAACCTTAACCCTCATGAATTGGTCTGATCGCCAACTTAAACCCATCCAAGTTTGTGGACAACACTACAATTTGTGGAACCAAATTCCCTAGTTTTTGTGGTGTGAAGAAGTATTCCATTTTGAATCTCCCACCCTTCAGCTTCAGGGAATGACCACAAGTTCTAGTATAAGAAAGAGAAAGAAAACTTTCTCCACCCCATGCATAATCTGATATACAGTGGTACCTCGGGTTACAGATGCTTCAGGCTACAGACTCTGCTAACCTAGAAATAGTACCTCGGGTAAAGAACTTTGCTTCAGGATGAGAACAGAAATCGGGCGGCGGCAGCGGGAGGCCCCATTAGCTAACGTGGTGTCTCAGGTTAAGAACGGTTTCAGGTTAAGAACGGACCTCCGGAATGAATTAAGTTCTTAACCCGAGGTACCACTGTACCTCTATCATGTCCTTCATTACTCGTCCTTTCCCTAAAACAAAGCTCCCAAATGTTGTAAGCTTTCCTCACAAGGGATCATTTGGGTTGCCCATTTCTGAACCCTTTTCACTTCTACAGTATCCTTTATCAGATTAAATGCCAGTAGTCAAAGTGCATTTGCATTATGATATTGCCAGTTTTGTTTTCAATCCCGGTCCATGGTATTCACCTTTTTACAGCTGCGGCACACAGGACCAAAATCTTAATAGCGCTTCCTGATCCTGATCAGTCACTGCCACTTCGTACCCCATGAGTGTATATGTGATATTAGGATTTTTGGCCCCAATGGGCATCACTTTCTACTTGTTTACTTTTAATTACATTTGCTATTATACTGTCCATTCACCCAGTTTGGAGAGCTCCGTTTTTCTAGGGGATTTAAACCTGCTCTGCAACCTTCTTATCCCAGGCCTGTCCAGAAACATTTCCCTAAAAATATTTGCTTAAAAAAATCAACCCCCCCCCAGACCACTGTCTTATACACACATTGACATTACACAGCTGTGTCTGTCTAGCTGGCCCTGTACTCAGAACTGGTAGCAACTAATTTCCCTGATATCTCTGATTCCCTGAGACCAGCAGGTATAAGGCAGTTTATAAAATCAATAAATAATAATAATAAATGATGATATCTGGTGTTTTTTATCCAGTTAACATGGTGCTTCAATGAATGCTTTGATTATTACTCTTTTTGAAGGGATGGGAGGAGCAATGTAATCAAACCCAGATTTCTAATGCTCTGATGCTTATTGGGGCGAAGAGACAGTACTGTAACTGCAATGGGAAGACCCATTTTCCTCAAACACTCCAGGGGAGTAGCTATTTTTGGGGTTCTGAAATTACTTTCTCTCCTCACAGGGGAAGAGCTAACTAAAATAGAAGATGAAGATGAACAGGGTTGGTGCAAAGGCCGCTTGGACAATGGGCAAGTTGGACTCTATCCCGCAAACTATGTTGAGGCAATCCAGTGACAAAGAGTTGTATAGAAGTGCTGTAGTAATTGTCAGTCGGTATGCAGTTGGTGGCCCGCCATGAAGAGAACTGAAATGTGTTGAAATTGTATATATTTCCTTTAATGCAAATGAATGATGGATTGAAATATGTGTTCCCAGGGGACAAGATAACAATTCAGACTGAAACTGGGAAAGGTTGGCAGCTTATGCACAGCACAAAATAACCAGGCCAGAGTGGAAATTTAGTTGGCAAGAAAATGATATTCTTAGAACTTATTGCCAATTTACTGTTTTATCATGCCTTATGTATATTTTCAAATTTGCTGCTGCCTCAACCCCATTTTTCTGGGTGGTGGCTTGCATTGATTCTTGTTTAAATCACTTCTTTTAAGTGACCTATAATAATTTGCAATAAATTGCAACTTATTTTTTTAATTGCAATTTTTTATCTGTTCTTAGCAATATTTGAAAGATGCATTTTTTTAATTTAAAGACTATGTAGCCTGCCATCTTTTCATGCCTGATTCATCTACTACTACTTAAGTTATGAATTTGATTATTCCTCAGTTTACATTGTACTGTTAACTTTTCCATGCCTTAATGGTGTAAAATGCCAAATTGGGTCTGTTACATAACATTGTAGCATACTGTCTGCAAATGTTAGTTTGGGTTTCTGGAATGCCATTGATGCATTTTGGCACCAGAAACATGAATTTTCCAAATTACGACTTCCAAGAGGATTTCTAAAAGTATAATATTTAAAACTATTTCCATCATATTCTTGCTGAGAAATTTACATTTTGCAAGATGTTAATGATTTTGTGCAATTTGGAAACGTCTACGGAGATTATTTTTTCAAGCAAAAGACTGTAAAATAGATTAATGCTTTTTTTATTGAGATGCTCTTTAAGTTGTGCATATGTGTATATATAATTTGATATTCAAATGTTTAAAGAGCATATCCTAATTAGCCAGCCTATTGTCTATGCATTAGATTTAAGGTGGAGTCCAGCACTAGTAAATGTGAGTTTGCTATCCATGTCAGTGGGACGTTGCAGCTCTAGAGCAAGCCATTTAAATTATAACATATTTAAATTGTGCTTTGACAGTGCTTACTCATTTAAACATAAAGTAGATCAGCTGCTCAAGCCAGTCCACTGTGGATGTAGTAGCTGGGAGGGATTGTCCTAAGGATATAGGAACCCAGTTTTGACCCTCTTCCATATGGAGTGATTTCAGGAGGAAGAGACCTGCATGCACACATAATACGTCCCTGTCCACCCCAATCTCCCTTTCCTTGATGGAGGTGGAGGAGTGAGGGCTGCCTGGGAGTTGCAAGGTACGCACAAGATTCCCACTCCTTGTAAAGGCTGGGGCGGGGCGGGGGGAGAAGACCAGTCTTCTGCTATGCATTCCTGGGATCCTCCTGTGGGCCCTGCATCCACAGTACACTGGAGTGAGGCCTAAGTATTATGTGACTTTGATTCTCAAATAAGATGAACATAGTAGTTACATCCTAATATTAATATTTGTAGGTAGAATCGTGGCTCCAAATATAAACTCGCAGTAGCCCCACTGTGGATTATTGTAGCAGAACACTGTAAAATCTACTTGTTTGAAGTTGCAAATCAACTGTAAAAGTGTGAAATTGTATACATTTGTAGGAGATCAAATAGCTGGATTGTTGAACATGTTGGAACAAGTTGCTTTATAGAAAATCTAAATCTTATCCGATAAGTAGAAATGCTATTTTAGGGAACTACACTGTAATTGAAATAACTTTTTGGCAATTAAAATGCTGTAAGTGCTCCTGGTATTACATTTGCTTTTGGAGATCAATATATTTATTAACATATGAAGTTCAATTGTATAAGGTTCAGTATTGGATCGCTGCCATCATAATATTCCAGCATAATTGTTCATGAACAGTAGATTTGCCACAAGTGGTGAAAAATAAGTCTGGAGTATTTTTCTGTATAGCACACTATTTTAAAAATAATAAAATCTTAAATATGCTGAACACAAATTTACTGTAAAAGTACTTCTCTCTCTCTTTACTGAAAGCGCTGTATTTTCTGTTTGTTGCACTTTGAGATAAATAGTCAAAAATTACTGTTTGGTATATGCATAATGATAAGTAGAAGTACTATTTGTCCCAGCAATGCACACATGATTTTGGCTAACATGAGACTGAAGAAAGTTACAGTCCTGTCCTCCAGCTATCAAAGTATGCCTACAAAAGGAGTCAAATATACTTTGCGTCTTATGGAGCAAATGCAGGCTGTGCAGCTATCACAGAAGCCAGAAGAGCCAAGAGGGATTGCTGCTTTCACTGTGCAGCAATCCCTCTTGCTCATTCTTGGCTTCTGAGATTCAGAATATTTTTCTTCTTGTTTTCCTCCTCCAAAAACTAGGTGTGTCTTGTGTCTGGTGGCGTCTTATAGAGCGAAAAATACGGGTACTTTGGAAGAAATGCTCAAAATACAGAATAGGCAAAGTGCAGACCCATTACACTAGGCAAGTGTTCAGGCATGAATATATTGAGATAAAACAAATGCTGAATAAAGGAATGGCTGAACAACAACAAATCAGTTCCCCTAAAAGGTTTGGTTTTGGACAGGGCTGAAAATAAGTCAAGGCGCTCGCTATTACAGAGAAGGCCCTGTCCCAGTCACCAATCAGGGAGCCTGCCTTAACAGTGGGACTACAATATCCTGCTGATCTCCTTTACATCCATATAAACCAGCAAATGAGATACTAGTGTGGCTGTCAGTTTTGTTATTTCCCAGGTGCTTCAGGTGGGTTCTGCCTCTCTTCAAAATTAAACAAAACCAGGCAAGTACATTTCTATGCATATGTTAACCCAGCACTTTATTTTTCAAAATGTGAACTCTTTAAGCAATTGCAAAACTGCTTTAGAGATGCAGACTTGGTGCTGCAATGTGCTGCAGGGATAGCTTAAGTGATGCTCTCTAGATGATGTTGGACTCCAATGCCCATCATCCCTAACCTTTAGCCATGCTGGATGGGGCTGATAGGAGCCCAGTATCTGGAAGGCACCATCCCTGTGCTAACCACTTAACTCGGGTCGACGCTTCCCATGTTTAAACTGACCCATGCTAAATAGTTGCAGGAACGGTTTTCAAAGCTCGACCCATTGTTTTCTCCTGCTCAAGAGGGTAGGACCCAAACCAGTGGCTTCAAGTTACAAGAACAGAGGTTCAGAGTAAACACCTGAAAGAACTTTCTGACGGTAAGAGCTCTTTGACAGTGGAACAGACTCCCTCGGAAGGTGGTGGACTCTCCTTTCATGGATGTTTTTAAGCAGGGGTGGGGTGGCCATCTACCATGGATGTTGAGATTCCTGTATTGCAGGCAGTTGGACTAGATCAGTGTTTTTCAACCTTTATGGGCAAAGGCACACTTGTTTCATGAAAAAAAATCACGAGGCACACCACCATTAGAAAATGTTAAAAAATTTAACTCTGTGCCTATATTGACTATATATAAAGTAATTCTCTTGAATAGGAATCAAATAAACACAAAGAAAGTATTTTATAATTACTTTATTATGAAATAGTAAGTAAACAGAATATGAAAAATTATAAAATACTTTATTCAGTGCGCAACCTGGGCCTGTTTGGCTGAACACAAAGCTGATATTCTGGCTGGAATCGAAGAAAGACACACACGTAGCTCTTCGTCAACAGCTCTCAGTCTCTCTCTGTATTTACAAACAAAAACGTTGCGGACCGTTCTCTGCTCAGCGGGGATCGATCTGCTGATCCCCACTGAGCCGGCGGATGACAGCTCCGTCTCCGCACTGTGTGCGGAGAGGGAGATGTCAGAGTCCCACTGCTCTCTATACCCCACCCCACCCCCCACCCCCCATACCCAGAACACAGTCCGACGCCCGCCTAGTGGGCGAAAATTTGACATTTTTTTAAAAAAATCTTTCGAATTTTTCCATTTTTCCCACGGCACACCAGGCAACATCTCGCGGCACACTAGTGTGCCACGGAACAGTGGTTGAAAAACACTGGACTAGATGACCCTCAGGGTCCCTTCCAACCATACAATTCTGGCTTTTATTTAACATTCACAGTGCACTTACAAACCACACCCAGGACTCGAAAAGTTGTGTCCTCATCCTATCTATCCAATTAACTATCAAGAGGGAGGGTAGCGGTTTTGTAACTCCTGCTGATGCTCAAGACACAGCAGGAAATAGCACAGCATGCCAGAAGTATCTCAATGCTACCTCAAGCAGAATCTCTGTGGAGCTAGTTTTGCAATCACATTGCACTTTGATACAGACACGCTGATCATCAGCATGTGGACTCCAAAGGTTGACTCCAACAGCAGCAGATACAACAAGCATAATATGTTGTGGAGCTGAATAATTTTTTACTGGCCCAACCCCAAAAGTGGATTTGATAGCTCCTAAAAAGAACCAATTTCCAAGTGCTTCTTAAATGAGCCAATTCTTTATGCCCAATAGTTTTAATTAATTGATGGCCCATTTGATAAGTAAGAGTCTACTGCGGGGGGGAAACAAAGTTGACTTTTAAATTTTTCAGGTACTGTAGAGAGACTTTTTTGGTGGGACAGGCCTCCATCCCTTGCCCAGTCAGTGCCAGATTACCAAATAGGTAGCAGCTTTTCAGGAGCCCTGCAACTATGGGTCAAAATAATACTGATCTAGACAGAAAAGTACAATTGACCTTCAAAATCCAAAAATACATTAAGAGTTAATTTGTGAGGGGCCCCCAGAGATTTCGGCTGCCTAGGGGCCTCCACAGAGTTTGGCCCTGTGCCCAGCCAGCTTCTTTTTAGTTGCAGGTCATATCACATCCTGCTGCTTCTCTAATTGGAAAGGAGAAACGAAGCCCTACATGAAACCCGTTAGATTTCTTCCCCCTTCCTCCCAAGCCTGCGCTTGTTTTTCATGTAGGTAAACAACATAACAAGGGACGCAGGTGGCGCTGTGGGTTAAACCACAGATCCTAGGACTTGCCGACGGTGGTTTGAATCCCCAGGTGAGCTTCCGTTGCTCGGTCCCTGCTCCTGCCAACCTAGCAGTTCGAAAGCACATCAGTGCAAGTAGATAAATAGGTACCGCTCTGGCGGGAAGGTAAACGGCGTTTCCGTGCGCTGCTCTGGTTCACCAGAAGCGTCGGCCAATAAAGCGAAATGAGCACCGCAACGCCAGAGTTGGCCACGACAGGACCTAATGGTCAGGGGTCCCTTCACCTTTAAACAACATAACAAAAAAGCCCTCCAGCAACCCCCTTCCTCTTAATTTCTAAGGACTTGAGGAGGAGGCTGAAATCTTGAACGTTTTAGTGCCTGTACCTTGAGGCAAACCTTCAACCAGTTATTTCTCCGCTCCCCGACCCTCCAAAAAAGAGAAAACCTTTATTTTCTTGGATCAGGAAACTATTTAAAAAAGGGACTTTGTATTGGGTATAAACTTTTTGCATCTCCTTTGAGGATCATCAATGAAATGTGAGAAAAGGAAACGGGCATTGGTCCTTTTCCGTTCACTTGTCGAGCGTTCACACGTATATCCGTGTCGCCTTTATTCGCGTGTCTCCTTTATATGCTCCCCCCCCCCCGCGCATTAACCCTCTCCGCGCCCCGCCGCCCTGAGCCTCGGCTCGAGGGGAAAGGAACCCCGCCCTCCCAGTCGCCTAGGCAACGCCACAGCGCCCAACCGGCTGGCGCGAAGGAAGCCCCGCCCCGCTTCCCGGCCTTCCCAATCCGCGCCCAACAAATCAGCCCTTCCCCGCGACGCTCCCCCGCGGAGCGTGCGTGGCGCGACGTGGGCCTGCGCGCGGCGCCGCGTGGAGGCCCCGCCCCGTCGGCGGGAGCGTGCGAGGCGCGCGCGGGTTGGCCTCCCTCCTCCCTCCCCTCCCTCCGTGGCGCTGCTTGAGGCGGCGCTTCTTGAGGCGGCCGGGTCGTCGTCTCCGTCGCCTCCGCGTCTGCCGAGGGGAAGGATGTGCGAGCCCAGCAAGCAGGACATCGGCGCCGTATTCCGGAGGCTCCGCGCCGTCCCCACCAACAAGGTGAGCAAGCGGGGCAAGGTCTTTTCTCCGCTGACACGTCGCGCCTCCGCCGCCTCCCGGCCCGGCCCGCGTCTCCGGGAGCTTGGTGGTTCCCGTGTGGCGGTTTACTTTTGCCTTTTGTCGAGGATCTCGGGCCGCCGCTTCGCAGCGCGGAGAGGCCAGGCAAAAGCACGACGCGCGCCAGGAGATCCCACGGAGATCGTGATCCTCGTCCTGATTTCGCACCTTCTGTGGCCCTTGCCCCCCCCCCCCGGTGCTTTCCGATCTCCCTCCCCGAAATCGCATTATCCGCCAGGCGCTTTGCGCTCGCGATCCTAACACCCCGAGGTAGGTAGGGAGCAAGCTCCGCCCGATTAGGCGGGGCTTGCTTTCGCGTAGACGTGGCCAGATTCGTTTCTCTTTTATTTTTTGCATTTGTTTGTTTATTGCCTTGAGGTCAAAGTGGGGCACATGGTCCTCCTTCTCCTCCCGCTCCCCCCATTTCATCGTCACAACAACCCTGTGAGGTCGGCCAGGCTAAGAGAGGGAGACTTGGCCCAAGATCAGATCCCCCATTGAGCTTCATGGATGATGTGGGGATTGGAACCCAGGTCTCCCTCTTGCAAAGAACTTCAATTCTAGGGACTTGAGGAAGGGGCTGAAACCTTGTAAGGGTTTTGCTGCATTTTTTTGCAGACAGACTTTCAGCTTTCTTTTTTCTGCTGCCCAAGGCCAAACGCAAAAGTAAAAAGGGCACATTGATTTACTTGGATCAAGTATAGGGAAACTGGGAAACGTAGGGACAGCTATGTAGGTAGATGTGTCCTTCCTGATTTATATCCATCCATGTCTTGTGGAGCTGACGTTGTGATTCATCCCTCGCCTTTTGGAGGGTGAAGTGCATCTGCTTCCTGCCCAGAACTCCTCACTCCTTTTTCTTTGCTGGAATTCATGGTCAAGGTTCTGCCTGCCTTGTCAC